ATGGTCACATATAATGAGAGGAAGCCCCATATAATTTTGAGGTCACTATTTCCAAGGTCATGGTCACAATAACTAAAAATAAACTGAAATAATTGCAGAAAAGGGGTTTCTGGATACAGCTCCAGAACCTTACTTATACGAGGTAACCTAATAAGAGGAAGATTCCTATATTTTTTTATAAGTCACTTTCTATAAGGTCAAGGTCAAAGTTACTGAAAACAAGATTGACTTGAAACCAGTGAATCTTCTTTTAATGACTGGAAGATTCCTATTCATTTTGAGATCACTGTGTCTAAGGTCAAGGCCTTTATCCTGCAACTCTTTCAAATGTTTGGGTAAAAACCATCAATTTTGAAATTGAAGTGGAGTACATATTCTTTATTGATGTCAATAAAACTCTACGAAAATACATTGTCAACATCATAAATAAGGCAATATTCAGTCAGTGAAAATATCACAAAAGAATATATATGATCAATGCAATTTAACTGCAATTTAACTGTGCAATTGGCACATTTGCAGTACAAAAAATGTATAAAGAATGATTGTAAGGTGTACAAATCTGTCTTTAAGGTAGCCTTGATCTGACCCTGGCCTCATTTTTATGGTTCATTTATCAATTTTCATGATTTGATCTGATTCATATTCATTACATGTTACATGTATATGTCAAATATTTGTGTATAGAATCATTTTATGTTGTACTTGTCAGTCAAGCAGGATTCATATGACCTTGACCTCATTTTGATGGATAATTAAGCTGTGGTTTAGAGCTAAAGAAATCTGCCTGTTATTCAAATATGGATTCAAACCTTTCTTTTATAGTTCATTTTTATCAAAATATAGATGCTGCCTATTTACATTGTTGTACACATTTCTCAATTCATATTTTTGGTACATGAATTTAAGATGATTGTCCTCTAGCCTGATGTTTCTGATGATTGCAAGTCTGTTTAGTAAGATTATATTTTGATGGTTCAGTCATATGTTAACTGTGTGCTTAAAAGTAACCTGGCGACCCGAGGAAATTTTTAAACGTGACTTTGTGACCTAAGGGGTACCTTACTGGAGCCCCATCTGTGTGTTCATCCCTCTTCCTTCTTCCTTTATATTTTATTTTTAGTCCGAAGAATGGTATATGACAAGGCTGATGTCAATATTTGCAGAAATATAAGGACTCTCACACCTTTTTTGGTGTGGAGGAAATGGTATTTTTAGCTTGAACAATGGTATGGAATATTTCTCAATTTTTAAGGCTGTATATGGTAAACCAAATGTTATGGATTGCATTTATGAAGATGTGCTCTGCTCACAACACTTCTCATTTTATTAATCATATTTGGTTAATTTTGAAATGCCTGTAAAAAAAAGTACTAAAAATAAAAAAATAAAAAACAACACATTTGTGTGAACAATAATTTATGTGACAGTATTTCGTGTCTTTGCATTATTTTATCATTATGAAAATGACTTCAGTCACATAACTTTTAGGAAGTGAAATTTCACATTTAGAAGGAAACTAAAGTACATTTTGTAGGAAATGTTGATGACATTGCTTCCTCCTATCAAACATATGACTTTAAGTACCTACTTTATCTGAATTTTCTCTAAATATGTCAGTATTCAAACTTTATTTCACACCATGATAAGTTAAGGAAAAAGCATTTGAGCATAGAATATCTATGGGGATCTTGATTGTATTTTAGAAATATGTAAACTGAATAGTTCAGTGCTTACAAAAAAGGTTCTAGAAAAACTTAGGGTGTCTCAAATGGACTAAACAAATTGGGTATTTTTGGCAGGGTTGCACAAATTGCAAAATTGGATTATTGTATGGTAATATTTGACAGGCAGGGAAAAGTCAGGGTACCTACACAAAGTGTAAACGGGACTATAGTATGCTGATGTCAGGTGGGTGAGGAAAATTGGGTATCTGCTTTGTGTAATCAACTCCTCATTTAGTTAGTTTGAACCCAGATCTCTGAGACTTCACAAAAAGATTCTTAGATATAAATATTGGGCAACTATTATTATGGAATTGTTTGAAGAATTTTTGTCTACTTTTAAAGACTTAGTGATTTATTAGCAAAATTTACCATCTTTTGAGTAATCGACTCCTCCTAGTTTTCAACCCAGATCCTTTGACTTCACAGAAAGATTGCACATATATTGTGGTGCATCTGCTATTATCATATAGTTTGAGGAATCTTTTCCCATTTTGCCAGATCTGGGAACAGTTATTTTTTCAGAAAGACACAGCAGGCTTATGGAGGGATTGTATATGTATTGAAGCTTTGACTGTACTATTACAGATTTAATTGATAATTTTTTTGTCTCAATTAAACCATACTTGAAAATTTAGTAATTTTTTTAGGCCATATTTTAGAAGACAGTGCCAACTTTGTGTAAGCAAAGGTGACCTCTTCCTGCAGTTTCAACACAGACCCTTTAGTTTCACATATTGAAGTGGTGCACCTGCTATTATCGAATAGTTTCAGCAATCCTTTCCTATTTTGCCAGACTTGGGAACTTGTCATTATTTTCAGCAAACTATTTAAGAGACAAAAAGCTTATGGACAGATTGTACATGTTTTTAAGTTGGGCATCTGCTGTAACAGATTTGTTTAAGGAATTTTTCCAGAGTTTTTCCAGACTCTGGACCAAAGTAAATTTTTCAGCCATGGTGGTACCAACTCTCTCACTTCTTTCTGCAGTTTTCATCCAAGATCTAAGTACTAAGTCTATTCTTTGTCTTGATTGATTATTGTTAAAAGTACTTGTTAGACTTGTCCCTTAGTTTGGATGATGTAAAATTGATTATGGACATTTTGTTTTACATGTAACAAAATCAACTCAAGTTGCCTTTTTAAGTCTCTACCAGATTTCACATTATCTGTACTAATGAGCTTATTCTACAAGTTTTCAAAACTCTTGAAATGATTGAATTTGGTAGTTATTTAACATAATTTTACAGTTCTTTGATATTTTCTGACTAACAATATGAAATGTAAATTTTCTTTTATTTGTGATTAAGTGAATTCGCTTTTCCATGAAGAAGTTAATCACTGCATGGTGTCACTGTCCTTTTTATCAGCAGATGTCTATCTATCTATTAATGCATTTCTTTTGACCAGGGCTGATGAAATGCCTATCTGTACTTGTATGTCAGATCTATGATTAAAACAAGCATATACAGAAGTTTATATCTACCAGTAAGGTTACTTGAACTATCTGCAATGAACATCTGGTCAAGATAAATTTTTTTCAGGATTTTCCTGGAATCTTTTGGCTGTTGGGGATAGAAAGGCACAAATTAAGAAGAAAAATGATTGAAAAGAAGAGAAAATTAGAACTCATTAAATGACATTCAATTATTAACCAAACAAAAACTTTTCTCTTTTTTCTTTTAGTTAGCCTCAACCCTCACCCCTCTCCCTTCTCCTTTTATTGTAAACAGTATGCAGTGTCATGTTGGTATATTCAAACTTTTGTATTAATCCCACATAAATCAAAAGTAAATTTGTATTTCAGTAGCAAGATGTTACTGAGAATTTATATTACATGTCACAGGTGTGTTCTTCTATAAATTGCTTTTTTCACAATAGAAATAAGTAAAATTATACTAAATATCCTAGTGTTATGGTCCATAACATAGGTAGAAAATTAAATTTTCTTTCAGATAAAGAACACATTGTAATCTTTAAACTGATATAAGTGCAAATTATAAAAAACGGGACATTTTAATATATAAATAAAATCAGCAGTGCACATTTTCAAAATCTTATAAATTACTTTTTTATTTGCAGGAAATCGGATAAATGTAGAGACTTGCAAAACTAGATAAATAATGGACACCAAAAAATAAAAGAAACATTTTTATAGATGTGTGAAGTGATGATTTCAGGAATCTACACTGATTTTTGAACTCTGATTACTAAAATATGCAGAACTGATAAGATTGTAAAAGTCTGACAAATTTACATTTCTTGAAAATTAGTCATATTTTCCACACACTTTCAGAATTTTACCATGTCTTTAAGTGAATATAGAAGTCTCACAAATGTATGATAGTGTTTTATTAATTATAAATTAAGAATTAAATATATTATTAAAATAAAGTCAATTAAATCATTCTTTATGTTAAAATAGATAAGAATGCCGCCCACAATAAAAGTTGTAATATTTCATTTATAATATTTATTAGTTTAATATCTACGTTTACAACTAATAATTACCTGGGCATAGGTAAAGATATTCTATAATTGATGTTTGATGTTCCAAATGGATCATCCTCCTATCAGTTTTATTAGATCAGACATTGAATCATTGATAGGAATTCCATTCATACAGTACATACATTCTTGCAATGACTATTGCATTGCACATTTACCATACCCCTACCCACCTCTAATTTGTCTAAATTTTGTTGTTTTTTTTTACAAATGGACAAAGTTTTGTTACTTTCGTTAATTTTGCCTTACTAGTTTACAATTCTAAACACACTAAAAAGATATTGTTAAATAAATGTTTACAACACTATCAAACTTTTCTAATGGTTTGTATTAACACAAAAGTTATTTTTACAGGCTCACAAATACCACTGACAGAGGATAGTTTATGATGGCAAAGTTCAGCAATAACTTGACTACCCTCTATATTAGATCCCAACTTATCCTGTCCATTCTGACTAATATTATTCCCAACTTATCCTTTCCATTCTGACTAATATTATTCACAACTTATCCTGTCCATTCTGATTCTGACTAATATTATTCCCAACTTATTTCTTTATTTGTCTACTCTGAATGACATTATTCTCAACGTTTTTTCTAATCTCTGTCCATTCTAATCATATTCTTTACTTATGTCTTGAAATCTCAGTCCTTTTGAATTATCCATGTCCATTCTGACTTACATTATTCTAAACTTATTCTTAACTCAGTCATAATAAGAATAATTTTCAACACATGAATTAATAAATTTTTATATTGTATTTTCAGACTTACCTCAAAGAAATACTAAAAGAGATCTGCATTTACAATATGAAAGCTCCTCATCGAAACATGTGGGAACTGAAACCTGAATACAGACATTACAAAGAGGATGAGAGGACATGAATTTACATTCTCTGTTTTGTTGTGCTTCATGTTTTTATGCAAAAATGATTTTATATGTGAGAAAATTCAAACACAAAGCATAAAATTAATGTCAGTCATGTCAGATGCTTATTATTTAATATCTCTAATTCTTACAGGGTCAAGCTGATCATAAACATTCTCTTCTATAAAAGAATAAATGATTAAGCAATGCTCTTTCAATATATCCCCAAAAAACATACAAGCAATAGAATGTATTGCAGAGATGCAGAGAAGTCGTACATAATATGATGAATGCTGTCTAGACGTCAACATTTCTGTTTCCAAACAAAATCATTTGAACCAAAAGCAATATCTTCACCTAACTGAGCTTGATAATGTCTCATGGGAAAGGAAGACTCTTATTGATTGAAATTGCACCAAATTTTAGTTTCTGGATGGTATTTTTCAGACTATATGTATACTTTTTACCAAACCTGGTTCATTAATGGGGCCACAGGGTAAGGAATTCCACTATAAATTTGGGGTCAATTAGTCAATAAGAACCTTATGTCAATCTTTTACTAAACTTGATTTGGAAATGCTCAATAAAATGATAAAGATCTTTGGGGATTTTGAGGTCAATAGGTCACTAAGATTTACTAAGTATTGCGCAACAGCACAGTGTATTGCACAACAGCAAGAAATCTTTAATTGAATATAAATTCAATTCATATAACCAATTTCAAGTTCTTTAACTACATTTATTCAGAAACCTATAATATGTCAAATATTTAATTACAATCCAAATTCAGACCTGTATCAAGCTTGAATAATATTGTGTCCATTTTTGCCCCAACTGTTCAAGGTTGGACCTCTGCAGGCGTATCCAGCTGCGCTCAGCGAAGCAGTTTATTGAAGCATATATTGAACCTTAACAAAACTTAGCTTGAGAATGCCCCTTTGAAAGAAAGACACCCATTTATATTTTTGGGTCAAGGCTTACTTATAAATAGACTGAAATTTGAGGGAAAGTTTGTTTCAGGATAATATCTAAGATATATAAGACCCCTGTAAATGTTTAGGTCATAAGGGCAAAAGTCAAGGATACAGTAGTATGAATAGACTGAACTTTAAGTTTTTACCCCAAACATTTGATATAAATTGTCTTCATTACAGTCGACATAAAAATTTGTATCTTCTCTTACAAATCCATAAAGATCACAACTTGTCTAATGCACTACTTGCACTTCTGAAATTTTTTGTTATAGGAACTCACGAAAGTAAAATAATGCTTAAAGTCATATGATCTTTCAAATTAACAAAAAAGATTAAAAAGAACAAAAAATACTTTGAAAATTTACATGGACTGTATCTACTACATCTATCTGCCATTTACAATTTCCATTTAGTTTACTGACTTCTCCAGAGTACACATCATCAGTGATGTCCTGCTCATCTCGAATGAGGGAATCAAAGGTTTGATCCCCGACTTGGGAAAACCAAAATTTTTAACATTTTTTCTGCTGTTTTTCCACTAAGCATGTGGCATTAAAGAGTAAAAACTAGACTGGTCTGCTCTGAGACAGAATAATGGGAGTAGGTGGGGAACATATCTTCCTGCAGATTGTAATTCTGTGAGCTAGTACATTAAAATCTGACTCAGTTTAGAACAAAGCAGGTTTTGTGTTGTTTTATTTTTACATGTTATCGTCCTGAATATACTTGTAATACTTGCCACTTGACATTAATCAGCCATTAATAAATCAATCTATAGTTAATTCCCTTTTATGATTTACTGTCAAGTTCATACAGAGGTTTTTGTCATTTAACATCAAACTGTAATACAAACCAGTCGCAGTCAATATTTGTATTAATAATTATGATACATTTGTGTTATTTTTTAACAGAAGATACTTGTATTTCCCAAAAGTTACAAGTCCCACACAGCATAATATCTTAGAACTTGATGGATGTGTTTTGTCTTCATGTGTAGAATGTCATTTTATACCATCATGTAAGCTTGACGAACAAATCCCTGCTGAACAATTTCACTACAATATAATTTGAACTATTTTTAGAATATAATGTGACCCTGAGAGGTGAATGTTGATATAACTTCATTTATTTGTCATTCAAATATAACTTTGTAGTTACCGTAGCCCACCCACGTTGACTCGCGCTGTATATGATGTCATTGTCTTCCTCTGGAAACATTTATCGTTTTATGACAGACCAAGTCATCCAAAATGTCTGATTTTACAGATTTCTGACCAAAGAATGTCCTAGTTTTTAAGAGCAAAATCGATCTGGCCATATAATGCCTCCTCTAATTTTGATGTACCTAGGGATTCTTTTAAGATTACAGTTTATATCTATGGTCTATACCATTGATGTTGTGACCCCCACCAACACCTTGTTATGGCTATTATTCTCATTTTCCCTCCAAAAAGGCATGAAATATGACGTCGCTGGGCTTCCAAAATGTTGTATATGACTTTTTTTGCTAGAACTCCTTTTTCACACAAACCGGCTTGGCAGGAGGAAATGTCTGATATTCCAAAGTATCATTTATTTAGAACAATCAAAACATTTGAAGTAAGACATGTGACAAAATTGCCAATCTCAAGTGTTTGTAAAGTTAGCTTCCAAAATGTTGTATGTAAACTTGAAAATTGTTGTATAATGGCTTTGGGAATCAAAAACTTTTACATTTCTTTATTTCTGTGATAATAAGGTTAATTTATGTGTTATCTAGAAATGTCCAAGCCATCTACAAAAATGTTCAAGTTCACATACGACATTTTGGAAGCACTCATTTCAACCAAATTTTCAAAGCCTGTTTGTGAGAATTTTGTGTTGTTGAAAAATTAGATATGTACTACATTTTGGAAGCCCAGCAACGATGACACTTTCATATTACCACACATAAAAAATGCATATTTTCTAGGAACACAGTAATAGTCCTTTGATTTTCGTTGTCTAGAAATATAGTCCCTAGTGTGGACAGTGTATTACTTTACAATTTTTTTCATACCCCTTCCAAATTTATTTCTTCATGTTTTATGCCTCAAATAGCAAGTAGGGGGATAAAATTACACTGCAAAAAAAAATGGTGGGTCATGAATTTTAATGTAAAGAAGTGATTTGGTCCAGCTGGAAAAGGTTAAAAATTAGTATGTCTTAAACTGTTGAAAGAATTCATAACCCCCTTAACATAAAATTGTCCATAGTTTGAGTTAGAGCTGATCAATGAAGTTTTCTATAATTTTGATATAATTTGGCCAAAAGTAGTACACCACACTAAAAATCTAATTGAGAAAGTGCAGGTGTGATTTTTTGACTTATTTATTATTGATTTATTGTCTTAAAGAAATGCACTATGAAATAACTATTCTCGGGCCATATGGACCATGAATTTTAGGATTGTCCTTCCAAGCTATTAACCCAGTTCAGCTAGGGCATTTTTGAAAACGTGTGGAGTGCTAAATGGGTATAACACTAATAGCAGTTGAAATCATGGCTACAGACAGAAATGGCTTTAAATAAGTTACTTGTAATTTTCTAATATTTACAATATTGACCTGCAGGATTTCAGGAGTGTTTTGAAGTGTAAACAGGCAAAAAAATCACTTTAGAGCTGGACGATCACATATATAGATTTTTTACCTTTAATGAATTTCAACATTAAAGAAAACAGTAATACATGTAGTATGAGGATTAGTACCAATGAAAAAAACTTATTAGATGTCTTTTAATACTTATGTGACATCATGTGTGGAAAAATGAAAAATATCGTAAAACATTTTCACTTAATATTTAAAGACAAATATTTTTGCTTCATGATGATATATTTGTTGTAATAATTACTACAAAGTCATTAGTAATGTCGAGTTGGTTTTATATTATGTTTAAAAGAACTACAGATTTTTTTTAATAAATGTATGTTCATGTTAAGATTGTTTTATTTTTTATTTGGTGTAAAAATGTAGATGAATGACCTCCTTATAGTCATTGTATCTTCCACAGAAGTGTTCAATCGATGTACATTTTGTACAAATATTTGTTAGGGATGGGTGTCTTCTCATGCTTTAGGTCAGTAATTGGTCAAGTATATATGATCTATATAATTGTTGTAAGGTATACATGGCCATCTTACAGGAATTACCTGACCTTGACCTTTTTATACAACCGCAAAAAAATTTTGCGATCGTATATTGGTATGACGTTGGCGTCGTCGTCCGAAGACACATTGGTTTTCGCACTCTAACTTTAGTTTAAGTGAATGGATCTCTATGAAATTTAACCATAAGGTTCAATACCACAAAAGGAAGGTTGGGATTGATTTAGGGGGTTATGGTACCAACAGTTATGGAATTAGGGGCCAAAAATAAGCGTTTTTGTAACTTCCAGACATAACTTGTGTGTTAGTGTATGGATCTCTCTGACATTGTACCACAAGGTTCCATATCACAAAGGGAATGCTGGGATTGATTTTGGGGGTAATTGCCTCAAAATTTTAGGAATTAGGGGCCAAAAAAGGGGCAAAAAACAAGCATTTTTATATGGACAAATACTTTAGTACAAAACATAATTTAAAGCAGTGTAAGGGAGATAAATCAAATACATCATTAGATTAACCTCCCTTACACTGCTTTTAAATTATGTATAAAGTAATGGTTAATGAACAATTAAGACAATTTAAAACAGTGTAAGGGAGGTAATCCACATACAACATTTTGATTACTTCCCTTACACTGCTTTAAAATTGTGTTTAAAGAAATGCATATATTCTATTATAAAATAGATTTAGTTAGCACTATGGTAAATTTAAATGGGTAATTATGGTTGCAAATTCCATTGGAAATTTGAATTGAGATTATGACCATATCTTGAGGGAAAGAATTTTTTGGGGGAAAAAGGTGGGGGGGGGGGGGGGGTAAAAAGAAATTGTGGGGGGTCAATTTTTTCTCATTTCAGATTTCAAAAATTGAAAAGAATTATTCTTCAAATATTATTTTTTTTCAAATTTCAAATATTGAAAAATTTCAAGAAGTAATCTTTAATTGCACAGTATGGCGCATTAGATTTGTAAAATCTTTGACCACATTTATTTATTTGTTATGCCAAATCTGACCGTGTATTTAGATTTTTAATTTTGGGTTCAGTTTTCAAATTGGTCTACATTAAGGTCCAAAGGGTCCAAAATTAAACTTAGTTTGATTTTAACAAAAATTGAATTCTTGGGGTTTTTTGATATGCTGAATCTAAAAATGTGTTTAGATTTTTGATTATGGGCCCAGTTTTCAAGTTGGTCCAAGTTGGGGTCCAAAATTAAACTTTGTTTGATTTCAACAAAAATTGAATATATGGGTTTCTTTGATATGCTGAATCTAACCATGTATTTTGATTTTTGGGCCCCGTTATCAAATTGGTCCACATTGAGGTCAAAAGGGTCCAAAATTAAACTTTGTTTGATTTCATCAAAAATTGAATTCTTTGGATTCTTTGATATGCTGAATCTAACCATGTATTTAGATTTTGGATATTGGACCATAATAGGTAAGTTAAAAAATTTAAAGTTCTTAGACCACATTCATTCTGTGTCAGAAACCTATGCTGTGTCAAATATTTAATCACAATCCAAATTCAGAGCTGTATCAAGCTTGAATGTTGTGTCCATACTTGCCCCAACTGTTCAGGGTTCGACCTCTGCGGTCGTATCAAGCTGCGCCCAGCGGAGCATTTTATTCATGATTCGAAGCAATGTCAAGTTTTCACTCTTAGTATCAGATGAACATTGAGTTTGGTGCTTTAGATTAATTTTTCAGTTGGTGTGAGTAAACTGTCAACTTTATTTATTCCAGCTATTGTTGTCAGGTGAACATGTCTGTCTGACAGGATTCACATGACCTTGTCCTTATTTTCATGGTTCAGTGATCACTATTAAGTTGTCCTGCTATTGTGAATTCTAAGTTACTGTGAGTAGAAAGTGAAATATGATTGTTTTATAGTATCAATCTATTGTGTTTGTGTGTGTCTGAAATGGTTGACCTTAAATCCAACTTTTTAACTCACCTGGCCTTTAAGTGATCTTTTGCCATCCCTTGGCCTCGTCGTAAACTTTCAAAAGAATCTTCTCTGAAACTACTGGGCCAAATATTATCAAACTTTATTTAAATGTTCCTTAGGGTATCTAGTTTAAAATTTATATCTAGGGATTTGATCCATTAACAAATATGGCCGCTGTTGCTAAAAACATAACATAGGTGTAAAATGCAGTTTTTATACGACCGCAATCGTATATCGGTATGACATTGGCGTCGTCGTCGTCGTCCGGCGTCATCCTCGTCGTCCAAAGACACATTGGTTTTCGCACTCTAACTTTAGTTTAAGTGAATGAATCTCTATGAAATTTTACCATAAGGTTCAATACAACTAAAGGAAGGTGGGGATTGATTTTGGGGGTTATTGTACCAACAGTTAAGGAATAAGGGGCCAAAAATAAGCATTTTTATATGACCGCAAAAATTTTTGCGGTCGTATATTGGTATGACGTTGGCGTCGTCGTTGTCGTCTGGCGTCGTCCTGCGTTGTCCGAAGACACGTTAGTTTTCGCACTCTTACTTTAGTTTAAGTGTATGGATCTCTATGAAATTTTACCAAAAGGTTCAATACCACAAAAGGAAGGTGGGGATTGATTTTGGGGGTTATGGTACCAACAGTTAAGGAATTAGGGGCCAAAAAGGGGCCAAAAATAAGCATTTTTAAAGGCAGTGCTTTAATGCCTTTCTGGTTGCCGGGTTAATCTTTCATTCCGCGATATCCAACTTATCTACGTGGGGGGTCATTAGGCTCCAAGTAGATCCGGAAATGTTGAATTTTCTCCTCTTCTTATTGTGATATAAAATGTTTTTTGTTTCATTTCATTTACATTGGGAAATAGAGAAACGATCATTGTGTTTTGTTAGTTTTAAAAACTTTTGATATATTTGTATTTTGCATTATAAGCAGTCAACCGATTGGCAAACTAGAATTATTTGAATTCCGTGTGGAAAGAGGTCGGGTTAATTTCGAGTGTTATCTGCAATCTAGATGTTAATAAATCATTTCAGTCGTTGATATAATAATTAAAGGTCGACTGAACATGAATTATATTATACAATTTAAAGCGCATTTCTGTTTATGCACGTGAACCCGTCTAACGTTATTGTTATTTCGCAGTTATATAAAGTAGCAAATTATCGTTCCTGAATAGGTGGCACGTTTGTAACCGATCCTGTTCCTCAACTTCCGTTTTCTGCACTGTGCAACTATTACAGTTACATTTTTAATTAACGATGCCAAGTACTTGTTTTCGTGTACCTGGATGTCATTTAAGAGGAGGACATGCATTTCCAAATGACTTAAAAAGAAGGAAAAGTTGGATCATGCCGGCAACGCCATGGCCCATACGCAGATTGGACGAGAACACGATGAAATCGTGGAGTCCATCTGAGCATCTCAATCAGCTGTTGTTTGCAAGGCACATTTTATTGAAAAAGACTACGTGCAGGAAACTATTCATGGTAAAACTCTATTTTCTTTTTGAAATATATAGTTATATATGTAATCGCCATGCGAATAAACCAAAGTCTGTTTACAACCGCAATTATCGTTTTAGAATAAAAGGGGGTTGTTAATTCAAGACGTCATAATTTTTTGGATTACGATTCAATGTGATCTGTTTGAGATTTTTTGGTGATTGCTACAATTATAATGATTTCTTACAAGAGGTAAATCATACTGAGAATTATTTTAGCAGTAATTATGCTAATGTAGTAATGCGTCATAGACTTTCTTGAAAAATATCAATGACAATGTTAACAGGAACAAAACAATGACATGCTCTCATCTATATTATAGTTATTTAGGTACAAACAATGCACGTTTGTTGCATAAGTCTCTCATTGTTTGTCCTTTGGATTTACATAACATACATTGAATCAGGCAAACATAGTTTTATCCAGATTGTAATGAATAAATCTACATTTAGTTAATATTTTGCCAGGTAGTACAAAGTATACATTGCTAATGGAAGTTCATTTAATTATAAAAAAACTAATGTTTTATAACCTTTTTCAGGGCGCAAACCTACCATACAGAGACTTAAGTCTACTGCCATTCCCAGCCTATTTTCCTGGATTAAGCAAGAGACTAAATCGTCCGCAAAAAGAAAAATCAGGGCAGTTTCCTATGAAAACAAAAGAACTAAACTTGATGAATATTGTAGTAGAAATCTAGAGGAAAGTTTTGATTGTAAAGTTGGTTTTCCTGAAGAAGTCATTCATACTGCAGAAAGGATTTATGACTGTCCACCACCAACTGCCGAGCTAATGTTGAGCTTCACAGATGGAATTACGCAAACACCATCAATGCCTATGTTTTCAGCAGAGAATTTTGAAATGAAGACATGTGACACAGCCATGCATTTTTATACCGGTTTAGAGTTGTATACTAAATTTTTATTTGTTTTGACCACACTTGGTCCAGCAGCACATTGTTTGCGATACATATATTTTCAAATTGATAGGGTGTCAGTTTTTTTATGACTGATGAAATTGAGCCATTATACAACCAACTTTGAACTGTCTAGATTGAATCTAGTGTTAAGAATATTGTGTATACATGGATTGTTTTTATGTCTAAACAGTGGCGTGAGGCTAACACTTGGCCATCTAGTGGTTTAGTCAGGTATTTTTCGCCATCCAACTTCAAATTAAAGTTTCCTACAACTTGGATTATTATTGACAGCACAGAATATCCCGTGATAAAACCTAAAGCTCTTAGAGCTCAGGCAACCTTTTCATCATATAAAATCAGAAACACTGAAAATACTTGTATGTTCGACACCTTGTAGTTTAGTCTAATGTCTCTAATGCATATGTTGGTTGTACCAGTGACTGTGAAATAGTTGA